ACACTTTGTTTGTACCTGCGCACTGGCAAGGACCTCCGACGCCCACCCCCAAACTCCCACCTCCCACCACCCATCTCCCGTTACGCCCAATAAAGCGACTACAACAGGCTACACGAAATTGAACAAGTTGCCTACCCCAAAAAGAGTTGCCCTCGCCAATTCCCCCGAGTTCAAAATTATGTTTGTCGAAGTTCTCGACTGTAAAATTTGTGGCGTGCCCCCATTCGATCAGATTGAAGGGGAAAAGTGGGTGGCAGCTGGTGGTGAGGGGAAAGGGAAAAGGCGGCCAAGGGGGAACCTCGAAATGCAACCACAACAATCTGCGCAACAGTAGCGACAAAACAAACGCAACCCACACTTGACCGCATGCCTCGAGTCGACTGGCAATCGAGACCACAAAATGTGAGCACACCGTGGGAAAAAGTTTTACAAAATTATTACAAGAAAACGAAAAAGGTTCATGATGATTTTTTATTAAACATAACAGAATATTATGAAAATAAATCTGAGCCACAAAATCACGTGTAATAGTGATTGGAACTCGTTAATTTTTATCTCTGTACTTTTACACACACGATTACGAACTTTGTGGCGTACCACGCGGCGTATGAGTAACGCTGAAAAGGGGAACGCCTGGCTGGCTGGCTGATAGTAATTATCGGGCACAGGGCGCCGCACAAAAGGTTGTCAATGGAGCGTTTGCCGCCTCCGCAGCGACGCCCACTTGGTCACGCCTCCCGGGGGAGGCTCCAAGTGAATATCGCTCATACGCCCGCTGGGCCTCGCAGGCACATTTAATGGGGTTAAGTGAGTTATGATTATTTCAGTGATAGAAGGAGGCGAACATGCAGAAAAGGAACTCCGGGACACACATCCGCCCGTGTGGTCGCTTATTTATGGAGCTTCCTTTCCCCCACTTAAGCCACATTTTGAGGTCCTTCGAGCTTGGAGCTCGGAGCTCGGAGCTGGCTGCCAACCGAGTCCGGGCGTAGACAAAAAACAAATTAGAGCCGGGTGACATTTTTATTGCTATTTAGCCTGGTGTGCCAGGGATTGTGTGTGCGTGTTGCTGTAACGAGAGCAATGCTCGGCTTCTTAGGTAAATGAACTCTTTGTGGAAAGGTTCTTGGTTTAAACTCTATTATTATTATTTGGCTGTTTAAAGCCGATGGCAAACACTTTCGTTGGGCATTTTTCAATTATACGAGGAATCCACAGAGATTGACGACATTAATCTTGGGCGGAGTCCCACGACGACACAGAAATCGAAGGCAGTGATTGGAAAGGAAAAGTACATCCCAAGGGTTCCTCTGCTTGAGACTCTCAACCTAGCTTAAATTACCCGTTGAAATCGTACGCCTCATTAGGCAAAAAAGACCAAACATAATTATGAAAAAAAGAGACAAACAAAAACCGTAAAACAATAAGATGCCAACGCAAGCCGAGGTCCTGCAGTTGAATGTCCTTTTTGTGCCACAACATCATGAACCCAAGGAGCAGACGCAAAAAAAGTTTGAGCGGCTCCTTGAATTGGTTTCATTATGGGGCCACGACTTTCCCTTTTTGCCCTAAGACGGCTTTTAGCTTTAAGCTCTTATTTTTCTATTTTCAAAGAAAAATAAATACCTTTCAGGGGCTGCAGAGCTGTGGGGTTAAAGCCGTCAGTCTGCGACTGCCACGAGGCAGACAAATTGTAAACAGAATCCCATAAACATCCCATATTCCTATTCTGTCGAATTTTTTCCTACATTTTCAATTTTTTCATTTGTTTTTCCACCTTAAACCAAGTTTGAGTTGGGCAAGTTTTTCGGTTTCTACCTTTTCCACTACAAAGTTTTTTATTTAACTCTGTCTGGTCAGAGTTTTTACCGGAACTCCAGTCATTTTGGGTGGCCATTGAAAGTGATAAAAGAAACTCCCAGCGTGCTTTTAAACACATTTTTTCGTGAGTACGGTTTCCTAAACTTCTCTTTTAGGTAATAAAAGGTAATTTCCCACAAATGAAAAATAAAATTATTTTATGCCTTTACTTGCAATTCTACATCATCTTGGGGCGCCATCTATCTTTGACAACAAACTTTCGTTTCATGCACGGGCTAGCAGAGACACAAACCAAGTGAAAACAGCTTTCTTGGAATATAATATACATATAATTTAAACAAATTCACAATAATTTTCTGTAAAAGCATATATAAATCACATATAGCAATAATCCATAACATTTAAGGCGGCAACAACAACAACATTTATGGGTTAATTTTTGTTTATTTTTATTTACCAATAAAGTTAGTCAAAAATGGAAAATTAAATGGGGTAGGTAAATTAAAGCTAGACTACTTGCAAATAAAAATAAATAAAAAGCATTATCAACGCACAGAAAAATAAAAAACAAATGAAAAACTTTTAAGAATCGTCGATTGTTTTTGGATAACATTTTATTAATAATCGCTTCTGCTTCCATTTGTCTGATGAATTATATAAACATTTAAATTATAGCGAAATAATGAATTCTACGTAAGAAAATGGTTCACTGTCAACTTAAACTATTAAATTTTGAGCTGAAAATATACAAAGATTTTAGAGAATATTGTATCATTAGTAAATGGTAAATGTAAATATCTTAGTTCGTTGAAAAATCATTTTCGAATATTTCGTTGATGTGCTTAACAATTATTGGGGAGTACATAATGTGGATTAAGTATTTAATTGAATATTAATGTAGCATAATTAAGTAAACGTATAAAATCATTGGCACAAGTTGCAGTCAAATTAACAATTAATTAAGAGGGTAAACGAGTAAAACTGTGTTAAAGAACTTCTGTTTTGGTTGCCACGGTTAGAGAGCATTGACGAGTGGTAAATTAGGTGTGCGATTGCACAGTGGTTCCCAAAAATACAATAAACATAGGCTTCGTTTTGTATAACATAAATTGCACTTAGCACAGAAGTTGAGAATACTTTTGGTTCTTGGAAATAAAAGCTAAACTAAACGTAAACGTACATATGTATATATTGATCCTCATATGACTAATTACTGTAAGTGGAAATTTAAGTGCACTTGGTGGCTAATCATAAAAAATCATAATTTTCTGTTTCCAGTTTCTCCGCAATTACAACAAACAACATAACAGCAACAACAGCAACAATTGGGCCGCAAACGGGCACTCAGGTGAGTGCAATTGCAATAATGATGATCACACCAATTACGATCAGGCACAAAGTGAGCAAATCGTTCGGTGTAATCAGGCCCACGATGCAGGCGACAAATACGTGCTCGAGTGTAGTCCAACCGCCTCGGGTTGCAACTGCACCACCGACCGCCGCATCCGCAGCTGCCGCCTCCCGTGGTGCGAGTGGTGCCACAGTTCGCACCTCGCCGAAAACGGAGAGCGCCTTGCAGCTGCTGCTCGGCTGCTCATCATCGCCATTAGCGGGATTCCCCGGAAGTCCTTTGCGACGATGTGTCTGCGTCTCAGTCTCAGTTACATTGCCCTCCTCGCCATCCGCCTTTGATTTGGCCTCCCTCTTCCCCTTCCCTTCCTCAGAGTCATCCTGCTCGTTGCAAATCGATTCAATGGCTTCCTGGAGTGCTCTCGACTTCGTTTCCTGCTCCACCTCCGTTTCGTAGTTCACCTTCAGCTCGGAAATGCTCAGGTTGAGCTGGGGCGTCTCGTAAACGATGCTCTTGCGACGGGTGAACGGCATAACGGAGTCGCTTTCGTCGAGTTCCAGCTCCTCCAGTTGGTCATACGAAATTTCGTTGAGTCCCGTGGCGTTAAGTTCGGTGGCGTCCAGATCTATGCTGTCCAGCTCATTGTACGAAGTTTCGTTTAGCTGCCGTTCGTTAAGTTCGCTTTCGTCCAGTTCTGGTTCGTCAAGTTCCAGCTTATCTAACTCATCGAAAGAAGCCTCAAGCATCCTATGAATAATTTCCGAATCGTCTAGTTCTGTTTCGTCTAGTTTGAAATGCAGTTCGTCAAACGTAGATTCGTTCAGTAATCCATCGTTAACCTCGATTATGGCAAAGCTAAGGCCATCTACTTCATCTCCTGATTGATCTAAGGTGCATCTCTGCAGGGTCTCAGTGGTTAGGTTGTATACCTCCTCGCTTAAGCTAACAGTTTCGTCAAGTTTCAGTACTTCTAATTCTTCATCTTTCCCCAAACTGTCTTCTTCGGTAGTCGGCTCTACTTCCTCACCACCCTCCCTTTCGTTGAGTTCTACTTCCTCCCGCAGACTCTCTTCTAGCTCTTCCTCTGTGGGCAGACGCGGGAAGTCCTCTTCCCCCAATCGATCCCCACCACCTAAGCACTCCGTGTCCGTCTGCTCCTCGTCCGTGGACTCCGAGGCACTGATGGAAACCTCGGACACGTAGTGCTCCCTGACCTGGAAGCGACTGTTGTAGATGGTCTGCAGTTCGAGCGAGGCGTTCGCGTAGTTGGCCAGCGGATAGTCGGTGAGGCTCACGTTTCCCGAGTCCGGATTCGAGGAGGTCTCCTCCAGGGAGCTCAGGGAGTCGAACTGGGTGAGCGCGGCACTCGCTCCTCCCTCCGGGAGCAGACTCCCCACGGACTCTTCGTCGCGGTCCATCACGATGCGGATCTTGCTGGCGTAGATCCTGTTGAAGTTCGGCGACAGCTTCAGCGTGGACTCCACTAGCTCCTCGTGGTCCTGCTCCGGAATCGTCTCTAGCTTATAACTATGGCTACTGCAAGTGCTAGCGCTATCGTTAGAGGTTGGAGGTTGGGTGGCTGAGCTTGGTTCTGGTTCTGGGGTTCTGGAGGTGCTAGTAATAACATCAACTTGGGCATTCGCAACGGGATTAGTAGCGCTATTAGCCGGATCGAGCTGGGCGGGATTAGTAGTGGTGGCATTGGCATTGGCATTTGCATTGTCAGTGTCATTGGCGTTGGCTTTGGCTTTGGCGGATTCGGAATCGGAATCAGGCGAACTCGGGGCCTCAGTGGCTTTGGCGGTGGCGGTGGGATGATCTCCGTTACCTGTGGCGTTATGCGTCAGCCGGCGGCGGTGCTTCGGCTGCTCCTCGATGCCGAAGATGGCGGCCAGCTCCTCGCTGGAGTTGTACTGCGACGGCGAGGAGGCGGAGGAGCAGGAGCCGCCCCGCTGCTCCCGGATCCTGCTCCTCCGGTTGCCCACGGGGGTCAGCTGCAGCGGAGGCGGCGATCCCGAGGAGGCCGGATGGGTCGGATTGGACTCGGCGGTGCTGCTGAGCACGGGCTGCTGACCCGTGCTCGTGCTAATCGTGGTGGTGCTGATCGTGGTGCTCTGCGGGGTGGACTGCCCCTCGTAGGAGGTGGTGCTAAAGGTCTTGATCGGGTCGGTGCTGGGTGCGTGGCAGTCGCTGCTCTGCGACTTGATGTAGTCGCTCGAGGAGTACGGGTTGAAGGAGGTGATGCTCGAGGAGAGCGGGCGACTGGCGCGCGAGGGACTCGACGACTTCGCCAGGCAGTCGCTGCTCGAGCTGAACGAACTGGCGGTGGTGCTCACATTGGGTGGGAAGCTCCCGCTGCCGCTGCTCCCACTCGTCAGGCTGGGGGCGGTGGTGCGCTGGTCGTCGGTGGTGGTGTTGGTGGAGCTGCTGCTCTTGGCCTGCCGCTCGCACTCCTGCATGATCTTGTCGATCTCCTCGAGCGTCTTCGCGTTGCGGTTGCGGTTCTCTGCAACGGGACAAACGAGAGTGGCATCACCCGCTGGTTGTGTGGCTGGTTGAGTGGCTGCTTGGGTGGCTGGTTGGGTGGTGGTGCTGCTGCTCATGTGGCCAGTGCAGTTGGCCAGGTTGTCGTAGTCCGGGTTGCTGGCCAGCTCGCTCAGCTGCCGCATGCACCTGCGCGCGATGTGCTCGATCTTCTCGGACTGGATGGGGTCCAGCTTCTTGATGAGCACAGGCATCACCAGCTGCTCGCCCTTCTCGTTCGTCTTGGTGGTCTGCGTCACCTGGAGCGCCTCGTGCACCACCACCGGCGGCTCCGTGGTCACGATGTCCTTCAGGATCTTCTCGCAGACCGCATTGGCCGCCTCGGAGACCTCGTCGATGGCGCGGATCAGCTTGCCCTCCTTGTGCAGCTTCCTGAGGGGCTTCTCCTGCTCCTCCTCCTGCCCGTCCTCCTGTCCCGCATCCGGCAGGGTCTCCAGCAGCATCTGGCCGCAGCGCTTGGCCGCCTCGGACACAGCTTCGATCTGCTGCAGCTCGTCCTCCAGCCTCTGCTGCTCGGCATTCAGCTTGGGCCTGGCCGCCGTGATGAGCGCCTCCCGGCGCAGCTCGTGCAGCTCCTGGCTCAGCTTGATGCTGCTGGCCTGCGCCTCCTGGGCGATCTTGTTCAGGGCGTCGTCCATCATTGGCTCTGGAGTGATGGTTTTGCGGGGAGCGGGCACTGGCGCCGCCTTTTGTGGCTCCTCCTTGGACAGCCGCTCGGGCAGCTGGGCGATCGCTCCTCCCTGGCTGGGGTGCCTGAACGGGATGGAGATGGGGATGGGGTGGTGCTTCCTGCCCTGGTCCAGCTCCTCGTCCTGCGCCTTCAGCTTGCGCAGCAGGTCCAGCGTGGCGGGCACATCGCTGGCATTCGAATCCCCGTCCCCCCGCAGGTTGGACATGCTGCCGGCTCTCTCGAGGTTGCGGGTCAGCTCCATGTAGCTGTTGAGGTCTCCGCCGGAGGGCTTCGCCGCGTCCCTCTGGATCAGGTTGTAGATGTTGGCCGACTGGGTGCGCGTGGCCCGCTGCTTCTTCTGCATGGGATAGACGAAGCTGGACTTCGGTCCCGGCGGATCCTTCCTCAGCGCCCGCACGGCCAAGTCGTCCTTGATGATGTCCGGAGAGCCGCTCTTCTTCTTCACGCGCACTGGCTCCACGTGCAGGTAGTCCGACTGCGGAGCGGGCACGATGGGACCCACCGGGATGCCAAACGGCGGCTGCTTCTCCGAGGAGCGGTGCTGCAGGTTGGCCAGCTGCAGGTTCCGGAAGGCCACGTCGTCCTTGACGGGATCGGGCTCCCCGGTGGGCGAGTCCTCGTCCTCGTACTCGTCCGCGTGCGCCAAGGCGAACTTCTCGAAGTCGCTGGGCGTGGGCACCCGCATCTTGGGCTCCGAATTCGGCTTCGGTTCCGTGGGTTCGGTGAGGCCCAGCGATTTGTAGATGGCCTCCAGCTCGTTGATGGCCTCCTCCAGGTTGGCGGGCTTCTTGCGGGGGAAGTAAACGGGAGGAGGAGGTAGAGCAGGAGCTGGAGCCACCGCTGGGGCGCTCATCTTGCGCTCGGGGTAAACCGGAGGCGGCGCCTGCTGGTGCTGCTCCCGCTTCTCGGCCACGTACTCCTCGTACTTGTTGGGCAGATCCTCGCCGGAGCGCCTGCTCTGGTAGTGGTGCGGCATGGAGTTGGTCTTGTGCACGTCCCTGTGCCGGATCTCCACGTAGTTCTGGTTGCCGCGCTCCTGCGTCGGCTTGATGTGCAGACTGCCGCACACCACGTTCTCCTGGTTCGGCGAGGGATTCGACGGAGGAGCGCTCCTCTTCGGCTTCTGCACCTCGGAGTACATGGGCATGGGGTAGGTCCGCAGCTCGCTCAGCCGGGAGCTGGAGAAGGAGCGCGGCTTGGCCAGCGGCTGCTGCTGTGGAGCGGGACTCGGATTGGGCAGGCCGCTCTTAGAGGTTCTCAGCACTCCGCTGGAGGCAGGAGCTCCACTGTCCATCCGGTTCGGATCCATCAGGTGGATGGGCTTGCGGGAGCGCGGCGTGGCATCCGCCACGTAGTGGAAGTCGATGCCGTTGGGCAGGGACTGCTTGCCGGGATTGGCGTTCCTCTCGGACCTGGTGATGAACCTGCGGTGGTGCGGCTGCTGCTGGCTCACCGGAGCACTCACTATGGAGGAGCTGGGCTGGGAGTTGAGCGAGTGCACCGACTGGTAGTGAGGCGGCTGCCAGATGCGGTCGTCCGAGGCGCAGCGGCTGTTGTGGTCGAAGGCGTAGGACACGGGCCGCAGGTCCCCCGAACTGGAGCCCATCTGCTGGCCACCCTGGCTGACTTGCACCCTCCGCAGCGGATCCCTGGGCGGCGGGGGCGGCGGCAGCGGCTTGCTCTGCATCCGCCCGCTGAGGTTCTGCAGGTGGATGTGGCTGTCGTAGCTGATGCTCCGCTTTCCGTCCGACTGCATCGCATTCTGCAGACTCTTCTGCGGCTGCGGCTGCCACTGGACGTAGCCTCCCGAGGAGTTCGTGGGTTGGTAGATGGACAGCGGCAGGGGCTGCGTCTTGTACCTCTGCTGCTGATGATTATGCTGCTGCTGCTGGGTGAGCACTGGCGGTCCTCCATGACTCGGTTCGCCGTCGCGGGAGAGCCGCTTGTAGTACCGCTCGTTGCGCGCCGCCCGACTGCGACGACTCTGGCCGGCGGCGGCGGAGGAGGAGCCCAGGTGGATGCTCTCGTCGCTGCGGTACTTGGAGAAGGTTGAGGAGTTGAGCGATATGAGCTCCTCCTCGCTGGAGTGGGCGCCCGGGGGCTTGGGACCGCGCTGCGCGGAGCGGGACTTGTGCGGCTGCTGGAAGCCGTTCCCCTGGAATCCCTGCTGCAGGAGCATCCGCCGGTCCAGCGAGTTGCTGGAGCGCTGGTAGAGGCCCGGCTGGTTCTGGTAGTACGGCTCCGGCGGGATGGCCTCCACGGGCAGGAAGAACTCGTTGTCCACCTGCGGCTGGGGAGGATGTGGGGGCGCCTGCTCCTGGCCCCTGGGGCTCACCACGATGTGGTCGAACTTGCTGCTTCCGCGGGATCCCTTTCCGGATGCCTTTCCCTTCGGCTTTCCTCCGGCCGACTGGCGCTGGGCGGGAACGAAGCCCGCCTTGCGGTCCTCCTCGCTGGAGGAGGCGCTCTCCGCCTCCTTCTTCTTGCGGAAGAGCCTGCCGAAGGACCACTTCTGCTTGCCGGAGAGCTGCTGCGAGGATCCCCCGATGCTGTGGTTCCCCCTCAGCCGGTCCATGTCCCCCTCCTCCTCCTCCTCTTCCTGGTTGTGGTTGTAACTGTGGTTCGGGTGGTGGTGGATGTCCGCTGTGGTCGTGGTGCTCGTGATCACCTTCGAGTCGTGGTCTTCGGCGCTGTTCCGGTCATTGGTCAGTTGGAGCTCCCTGGGCAGCGGCAGTTGTGGCCGCCAAGTGGTCTGAACAGTCTGTAAATAAACGGAGAAACATAGGGAGCGTTTAGTTTGTTTTGCTCAATCGCAATCGCATCGAGATAAATTCATGTTTTATTTGCCGAGAGTCGCGGAACCGCGAGCCTGATAAGATTGCCAAGTGCCAACTCGCGTTAACTTGGCCCAAAGACCCCGCAGATAAGCAAACTCCGTCAGCATTTTACGATCTTCGCGGGTAACTAAAAGGTTTCGGCCTTTTGACGACCTCACGTCACATTTACATGACAACTAAAACTATAACTCCATCTCACTCAGGGTCGTTGGTCTTACTGTTGTCTTACTGTTCGGTCAGAAACTAACTTTTTTCTTCTTAGTGTAAGAGTCATCTTAGCAGAAATCTCTGCCTACCTGACAAGTCTCTCATTCTGTTGCTTTTTCGCAAAATAAAATTAGCATAAAGCTCCCACGCGGTACTTGTTGTACTTTTTTTTGTGATTGCAGAGCGGAAGCTGCTCATTATCGTTACAAATTAGACATTTAGCAGAGTACTTAATCCAGTATATCTTATCAGTGTGCTCATACATAATGCATAGTGTATTGTTAAGTTCTTGGAAACAATTGGGCAAATGTAGTCATGATCCATCAAAGCCTTTTACTCATATACCCAGGAAAACTATTTAATCTTATCTGCAATTCCCATTTGCCAATTGAAAGGCCCCGCAAACAAATGCTGAATCGAATTAATTTAATTCGTTTTACAGCCCTCTCTGCACAATTTCCATTCCGGTTTCCATTTGTTGCTTTTTTGGAAGATATTAAACGAAAATAAACCAAATTGCGTGTGAAATTCGATGGGCGGGCATATATAATATTTGTTTATACCGAAAGCTCGGCAATTGGGCTGATTTCGGGGCACCAGGCGGTGTGTGGGATCTGGACGCATCATTTCCGTTGCTGACGCCATTCAGAATAGCTGAGGATGACGGCAAAAGATCTTGATGAGGAGAGATCCCAAAGGGTTACACTTGCTTCCCTTTTTTAAGTGGTAAACAAAAGTTTTGGGAAGCATAAGCATAAAGGGATTATGCTCGTGTCGAATGACATTCGATATGGTTTGCATCTGTAAGCAACTAAGAGGATCACTTCGAGTTGTCATGGAAAACATTGGCTTATTAGCACTATTACAATCCACTCCATCTGGAAGTCATGGAACATTGAAAAATCTTTTAAAATTTAATAAAAATAGACTATTCAATAAGCCATTTAAAATTGCATAAAAACTTTCAGAAAAAAAGAAGAAATAGTCGACTGCAAATTATCATTGAGCATTATATTTTTCAGAATATACTTATTGGGTAACGCAATTTATCCGAAAACAACGAGATATTAAAATTCGGATTTTTATCATAATCGCTTAAGTCTTGAAATGGATCGATCACATCTATAGATATCCAGTCTTTCAAGATCACCCATACGTTTTCCATAACAATTCAAAGTCTCGTAAAAATTTTAAGAACTTTTTCGACCGAATTTCAAAAACTTCCCAGAACACATGTCCCATGTTGTGGTCACCATTCCCTCACTTGTCATCTTTGATTTACGGATGGAAATTTATGCAAGACTTTCCCAAAGAACTTTTTGTGTGCCTCGGCGTGATTCACAATCGGCGTTAGAGACTCATTATAGTTGCTGATATAGACTATATTTATGTAAATTACATGAGAATTTTTACTAGGGAATTTACGGTCTCCTAAACAGCTGCGTAATGTCGGGCAATGTGCCAGTAAAAAAATACTCATATATGGCCGAGTAGGATGGCCAGCACAAATCACTCATACGCAATGGCGGAGCCGACCAAACAACCAACAACAATAGGCACACACATCAAACGTGCGATTGTATCTCTGGGGAGACTATAAATAAGCACACGCAACTCCAGCTGCGAAACCGAACGAGATTCCCCGACTCAAATGGCAAATCCCCGAAAAGACGGGCAAAACGAGAAATATTTGAGAACTTATAAATAAAACGGGCATCGAAAGTACAAACTGGGAGGAAAACCAAAATTCGCGCGATGTAGATCGAGTTGAACGAGTTCTATATAGAGGAGGTACTATCCGTTCCGATTCCGATTCGATCCGTCACGAGCACGCGCGCTTTCTAGACTGATTACGGCTAAGGAAAAACTTTCCGTGAAGATCGATTCGAAGGCGACCGAAAAGCTCCACCAAGAAGCTCCCCAATGGGCGCAAGAGCGTTCAAAGAACTTAAGAGAACGGGGAGAATGGGGCGAATAGTTCCCAAGAGCGCACTTTACATGATCGGAAAGGAGGAGGTGCTCCGTAGGAAATCCCTTTAGTTAGTCCCTAGGCCTTAGGCAGAGTTCCAATTAAGTAAACAGCAAATGGAAACCAAATTGATTTCTAGGTTCCCCAAACACGATCATTAAAAGTGTATTACGTGTCGGCCAGTCAATGAACTCTTACCCCGCCTCTAGGCCTTTTAATTAAGGCCGAAAATACACAATTCAATTAAGTGGACTGAGGCAGGAAAAAAGTCTTCAGGTGAAGGCGGTTCAGGCCTTCATCCTCCGAAAGCTGGAGCGGAAAAATACTATGCACTCAGAAACAATTCTGTTTCTCTGTACTCGCAACATAAAATAAAAGCAAAACTTTATAAATATACGGTACAGATATTATATATAATTATTTTTTGTTTTGCTTCTCCTACGCCTCACACTTAGTAAGAGTTTTTATTTAAGTGTATGTCACTTTTGTGTACGGTTGTGTCACCCGATTAACAAGCCCATTCATTTCGGAAAGGAATAGGGAAAATGTGGCCAACTTCGGGTTATGAATGTCCCACGAAAATAGCCGCTCTATAATGCTGATCGAAGATGTTCCACTTGTGTCACATAAATATATCCCAGTGATTCACTCGGCCAGAATATAGACGGTGGCCAATGCAATTATCTCTAGCCCAAAGGTAGGAAAACATTTCAGACAGCTTGGAAGATCGAACAAATACCAAGAGCTATGCGGAAGATCTAGAAAGCGGCGAAACTAAAGTGCACCAGAAAGTGGGTGAAGCGAGTTCCATCTAATTATAGTCGCACTTTTGCTATATATACACCCAGGGAAGATCGGAAGCCAGGGGAGCGGGGCAATATGGGTCACAGTCCTCGCGAACAGGGAGTACAGAACTACCTGAGTAAACTCAGATAACCTTGACTTGTTCGCTTACCAAGTATAAATTTTATTCGATTCGTTTCGCTGATTCGCTTTTGGCAGCTGTGCAACGAGAAGTTAATGAACTGAAACACGAATTTTAATTACATGTTTAATGACTTTGATTTGATGTTTCCTCGGTGGGGGACTGACTTCAAAGCGGTCCAGATATACTACCATATATCGCTGCAAATGCTGTGCATATCAAGGGATTTGCTGATTTGCTGAGAGTATTTATAAACCAGCCCGTGCTGTTTGAATACCGTTTTAAGTATCTGCCACATCCGCTTGTGAAAGTGTGGTATCTCCGCGCATCAAAAGAAGCTGAAGTATCTGTGTCAGAGCAGAAAATCCGCCAAGCTTATCACACACATTATGCAAAAAGCCGCAATGTGCGAGCCCCTCTGAAATTAAGAAATTCTGCGCGGAGCTGAAGTTTGGCTGCTTGGCTGAAGGCTGACAGAAACAAGTGGTTGGGCTCCACTTGGCACCACTTCTAATCCATTCGGGATGGCCCCGAACAAACGAATGTCTCTGTCTCTCGGCGCTGCGGCTTTCGAGCATGCATAATCTATACTAATTTCTCCGCTCGAAAGCGGGGTCAATAACACGGCACCGCTCGCCACTAGAACTGAACTCAGCTGGAAAAACTTTGGTCAGACCCCGGGTTCTCCCCGGTTTTAGGTTTTAGTGTTATTATTTATGCGCAGCACGTGTTGCATTTCTTCCCTGCAACTATGTATGTTTGTTTATCCCGACTGGGATAATGACTGGTGCGTGATATTGTTGATGTTGCCATATTCCCATTGTTTCGAGTGCGCCTTGCGTGAGTGGATCCCAGAAGGGAGTATCTTTGGGGTATCATATTGAACCAGGAAGTACGCTCGGCAAACAACGCCTTTCAGCTTTTCAGCTGGCATTTCTAATTATGCATATTTTGTTCATTTTTCAAGTCGGCAAGCCGAAAAATGTGAGAATTTGTTAGGCGGATGGATGGAGTTACTCAAAAGCTCCTCCCCGTTCTCGCTAGAGAAATATATGTGTGATAACTCTTAATGTTTCATGGGGATTACATGGTTGAGTTGACCCTTCATGCTTTCGTACTCCTTAATTTTTATTCAATTGATGCACCATTTTTATAATTCCCTCCCAATCAATTTTCTTATTACACCGCTCACCAAAACATGATTTTAAGAAATTTCTTCACTCCACAAATTCAGCGAAACTGTTTGAAATTTTCGCCCCTCAACGCCCAACTTTAGCAGACCATGAAAGCGAAAAACAATTTTTGAAAGCAGCCGCAGGCATAAAAGTGATTTTAGCTCCGCTGCCATTTTGCGGTGGCTGTAATTTCATAAGAAAATAAAAATTCTGCGAGGCCGACGCATGAGAAATATTTTGCATATTTAAACGAAAAAACACATAACATACAATAATAAGACAACAAACAGAAACTCGTCGCTTTCGTTTTCGTTTTCAAATGGCGGGGCGTTGAACTTTTCTCAGAAAAGACGCGTTTGCCGTGGAGATCTTGGGCAGTGGGCCCCTGGGCTCCCGATCTACCTATTGGTTTACACTTCACCTTTCTGGCGCTCTGTTACACAAAACCGACTTTCACTGGAAGTCATTAATTTTCACCCAAATCCGAGTGTGAGCCGAAGAAATCAGCATTTGATCCACACACATGTAAATCGATTTTTAATTGCTCCGAAATGTGCGTTGGGCAACGCGCAGACTAACAAGCAGGTGGTAAGTTTGAATTTAGATTTATGAAAATTGTTTGCCAGATTATAAGGCCCCTTTTTTGGA